AAAAAAATTAATATCCCTATGAATACCTTTCCTTACTCAGCATTGTTAGCCTCCACCTTCACTCACTGTCTTCCCCAGAGTGGAAGGCTTGCAAACATGGTCTGTTTTAAGGGAGCAGGAGGGGTTGCTAACTCTTCCCCTCCCCTCCCTCCTACCTCCAAAAGCTTCTCAATGCAGAGAATGGGATTGCTTCGTTCCCCCAGCCTTGGCTCAGAGCAGACATTTGTATCCTCAAAATTAAATTCCTCTTTTAAAATTGACTGTGTCTTTGGAAACATTAGGAGCTTAAGACTGGAAGAGTTTGAACTTGTTTTTCTTTTGTCCCCAAATTCTTGTTTACTGACTCGTTTAAAAATGAACATGTTTTCAAATGTGGACTTAGATGCTCCCTGATATTTTGGCCCAAGAATCAGCTTCTGAGTCTGAGTTATTGCACCTGCCCAGTTCTCTTGTTTCTTCCAAAAACCACCAACTCGTGAAACATCCTGAGTGGAGGTGGAAGCCAGCAGAGAATGGCGGGCGTGTGTCAGGTTCCAGGCCTTTTGGTGTTTCTCTCCCCAGGTGGTCGTGGATGCCCTGGTGGGCGCCATCCCGTCCATCATGAACGTCCTCCTCGTCTGCCTCATCTTCTGGCTTATCTTCAGCATCATGGGCGTGAACCTCTTTGCCGGCAAGTTTTGGAAATGCATCAACACTAATGACTTTCGTGCTGTGGACTGGAATACTGTGACCAACAAGTCTGACTGCAAACAGCAGAACGACACCGGGAGATTGTTCTGGGTCAATGTGAAGGTCAATTTTGATAACGTTGCGATGGGTTACCTTGCACTTCTTCAGGTGGTAAGTCTCGAGATCAACTAGTGTCTCTTCTCCTGGCTCTTGGATACAATGGAGGTGTCTGGAGTCTCCCAGAAAATGCAATATAGAGATTTTGTAAAGGGCAGAACTCGGAGTGAACCAAGGTCATTCCCTATTCCTACAGATTGTACCATGAGTGTAGAAGGCCTTACTAGGGAGTTTAGTTTGCACTCACAATGGTGCAGTTAGAAAAGTGTGGGGTACAGGGGTGAGTCTGCCACAGGATTGTGTCAGATGACTTTAAACTTACTACCTATACAAAATAGACACGACAAGGCTACCCACTCACTCTCATTTGTCAGAGCATCTCCTGGGACATAATCCATAGATAATCAATTATGTCCCAGGTCTATTTTAATAACACATAACATTAGTTGTGATGACAATCAAATACTTGCACACTTTCATCCATTCATTCATTTTCTCACCTTCATCCACTCATTCATGTATTCTTTTTTCAAGTATTGATGCATTTGAATAACTGCAGGATGCACGTATCCTGTTAAATGTAACCCATTAAAGCTTTCATAAACCACTTGTTCAACAATTCATTCAATAAGTGATTACAGAGTAGCTATGACCCTCGACCAGATGAATTGACATGGTGACAGCAGCAATGGGGTTAAGTGTGTCCGAGATGACGAGGACAGCACAGGATAGGACGGGATTCAGATCTGGTGTTCGTAGGGTCACTGTGAGTCATACTCAACTCGATGGCACCTAACAACAACAACATTGTGTTTCAAGTGCTCTGCTCACTCCTGCAGACACGAAGGCATTTCAGAACTGACTGTAGAAGATCTGTGCAGAAATACAGGCAAAGAGGCAGATCAAACTAGCTTGTCAAGCTCTTAGCATGTAAGAAGGTGGAACCCAGCTCCAAACGTCAGAAAGGTGGAGGTCTTATACGCCCACACATCCCATTTCCTGGATGAGGAATCCGTTCTTCTGTTACGCACTTGAGGTAGTAAAGTGGTTGAGAAAAAGGCAGCCCAAAGGAGGGAAACGCCCTAACTGAGGACACAGAGAAGCCTGAGAGGAGTTGGAACCAGAAGTCAGAAATCTAGGCACAGCGTTGAAGCCACATTGTGGAAGGTTCGGTGTCTTAATACAACTCTATTCTGAAACAGCCCCATAGAATTAATTTAAAGGATGGTGTGAGTGCGTTGGAGTTGCTCAGACGTGAAGGTCCTTCTTTTCTCGCTCTTTCTCCCCAAGCCTCTTAGCTAGCCTCCTTTCCCCCTGAGCCACCGTGTGTTCAGAAGGGGTCAGTGTATAAAGATGGGCGGACACTGAGTGGCCTCTGCTCCTTGATTGCAGGCAACCTTTAAAGGCTGGATGGATATCATGTATGCGGCCGTTGATTCCCGAGAGGTGAGTCTCAGCCCCCCACGTCTCCCTCTCTCACACTTCCTGCCCTGCCCATATTAGTCTGTACATGAAATGGATGGAAGCTGGCCTTGGTGCAGGAGGAGGCAACCAGCAGGCAGCTTCACATTACCCTACCCTGTAGCTGCGTCCAGCTGCTGTCCCCTTCCCAGCATTCCCCAGGCCCCCGGGACTCTGCCCCTGCTCACCGCAAAGGAGAGCATCGGACGTTCCTAGAGGAATGTGACCATAGTCCATTCCCTGAGCAGAAGTTGTAGGGAAGAAGTGGCTAGAACAAAAAGGAATGTGATCGAGTGAGACAGAACTTCAGACGCTATCATGCTCTGGTGGCCTAGTGGCAGGAAGCTGTGCTCTAATCCCAAAGGCACACGGTTCAAATACACCAGCTGCTTCATGGGAGATTGATCGGCAATCTCCTCCTGTGCGATTAACTGCCTCTGAAAACCTCCAGAGAGTCAGCTATGGGTCGGTTCTGACTTGACAGTACACAAAAACAACAACATCACAGCAAGTAGAGAGTTCTGTGGGGCTAGTGTTAAGGAGCTGCATTGCCAACCCAAAGGCATTCAGTTCGAATCCACCAGCTTCTCCACAGGAGAAAGATGAACAGTCTCCTCCTGTGTGATTTACTCCCTCTGAAAATCCACTGGAGGGTCAGCTCTGGGTCAGTTCTGACTCACTGGTTTATAATAACAAGAATAATCATGACAGCTGGTGGCGGAGATGCTGTGAGAGAACAAGAAGGCCCTTTCTCCTGTAGCAGATGCTGTCAATCCCTGCGTCATGTTGCTTCTGTCCACTTCTGGCTTCTCTGACAGCTCAGTGGTCCCCGCCCATGCTGCATGCGCAGTTCTCTGTCCCAAGACCATCTTCAGTCCTGGCGGGCTTGTTTAACCTGCTCACAAGCACTAAGGATTTCATGTCTCCAGAGACAACTCTCACCAATAGAATAGGAAAGTCTTTGGATATATATTCTAACTTCCTTCCACGGTTTTGAGTGGAGGTATATTCTACACTGTTCCTCCACGTGCCCCAGAAGATTGACCATCAGCTGCCCACAACAAGAACCTACTCAGTAACTCCCGCACCCTCAGCTTTTGTTCTGTTCCTGTCCGTTTCTCCCCTTCTTTCTCATTCCTGCTTCCAATAATCACCTCCAGGTAGACTAGCTGGGGCTGGTTTTTCAGGTGAACCCAAACCACTATATACCAACCTCTCCACACTTGGCCTCTGACCACAGGTGGACGTGCAGCCCAAATGGGAAGACAACTTGTACATGTACTTGTACTTCGTCATCTTCATCATTTTCGGTGGCTTCTTCACACTGAATCTCTTCGTTGGGGTCATAATCGACAACTTCAATCAACAGAAGAAAAAGATAAGTGGGCCTTGGGGGAATTTTTCTGTAGTGGCCAGTCTAGTAACGTCTGACCCACTGAGGCCTGACCATCCCTGACCTCCATGACTGACGTCATCACTCTCAGTCTTTTCACATGTAGCAAAGGAGGTCAGTTTTGACCTTGAATGTCAACATCAACCTTTATTTCCTGAATACAGCTCTTCCCCCTGCTTGGTACCAGGGTTACTGTTAGAGGGGTTGGGTTTCTCTCCATGTCCGCATCCATCTCCCTGGATTCCATTTTTCCTTCCCTCCAGAACCTGGTGATTGGAGAGTAGATAGGAAGACACTTTGGGAAATCTCAGCGAGAAAGAGCAGCACTTACTGCCTTTGTTTGGGGCTCTGGCCAACCCCCAAGCACCTAATCAGAAGGTGCCAGGGAGGGTCAGGGCTCCAATGATATCCAACTCCAGCCCTTCTTGGCTTGGGGAGGACCATGGCGACCTCTGAGCTCACTGACTCAGATTAATAGGAATACACTGACTTAGATTACTACTAACAAAATCCCAGTTAATCCCTCGTGTTTATATTTAAATATGGCTTCGGTAAAGTTTTAAAATGTTTCCTCTGGGTAGCACAACTGTTCCAGCAATATGCTCAAACTGAAAGGTTGACAATCCAAATTCACCCAGCGGGGCCTTGGAAGAAAGGACTGGTGATCAATGTCCCAAAGAACGTAGCCATTCAAAACCCAGTGGAGCACAGCTGCACTCTGAAACTCCTAGGGTTGGTTGCATGATGCAACAGCAACGCCAATGCAGCTGGGTTAGTTTGGTCTCTGCTGTTTGTTTTGTCTTGGTTTTTAGTACTTTTGTCAGGTGGTGGATAGGCACCCTTTCAGGTTCTAACAAAGGGAAACCAAGTCACCAGAGCACGGCATCAGGTCTAGCATCATTTAAGCCTGAACTGATGCTCAATCACTTGTTAAATTGGGGGTTTTTTTAATATTCGCCAAGACTTAGTTTCTCATTCGTTCAGTGAAGCCGTTAATGCCTACTGACAGGCTTGTGGAAAAGAGTAAATAAATCCCCACACAAAGTAAACCCACAGTATGGCTGAACACAGAGCAGGTGCTAACTTCCAATGGTTACTATTATAAATTTGGATTCTGTATCCAAAGTTTCAGATACCCCTCTCTAGAAAGTCCTCTGACAGGGTTCTGGGAATGACAAGTTGGGACAAGAAATTACATCCACCAACTTCCTGTCCAGAATTCTCCACAGGGCTCACCTACGACGCACAGACGCATTGATCCTGTGCCCGCTGAGACATCCTCCCCAGGAAGCCCTTGTGCTCACTGGTTTTCCAAAACTTCCTCTCAAACCCCACAGATCCCAGTCCACTTTCCAGAATTTTCAGCGACTAATTTACATGAACAGCTTATCAAAATGGGTGGTTTTTCAATTATGTCAGGAAGTGAAGCTGTGATGTTGATAATGGGGTCCCAAAGGGCCCCTACAAGACAACTAACATCCCATCCTAGGGAAAGAAGACCATTTCAAAGATGAAATTTCTGGTGTTGTAACAGTGTAGACTGTTAGCGCTAAAGAATCTGTTAGCAGTCTCTCCAAGACGAAGGACTTGAGGGCCAGACAATTACCAGTTAGAGAGATCCTCCTCTCCAGAAAGGGGGCGAGGATCTGCGTCCCCAGAGTCTTTTCTCTGAAGACCCTGGAGACACCCTAGGAAAACCTTCTAAGTCCATGACCCTAAAAGTCTAATTTAACTAGAGCGAGCAAACTGGCTCAAGTTCAGATGGCACCTGTATGAACGCATCTTGAGTTTGCATTCTTAAAGCTTCCCCACTCACCATGTCTGAGATCTTGAAGAAGAGAAATAGCTTCTTCTTCAGATACTCGGGCAGACAGTCAGAGACGGAGCTCCACCAGCTCTGTGCCTGGTGTGGAATCTGTGAAGGACAGTCCATGACCTTGGCAATGCCAAGCCATTCTGCAAAGAAAGAGAGAGAATCAATATGGTCCTCCCCCGGCAGGGCGCTCTGTGTTTCTGGTGTCTCCTGGGGCTCTTGTTTTCATGACAATGGTGTGTGCTATTCTCTCCTGCACTTAGGGGGTCAGGACATCTTCATGACAGAGGAACAGAAGAAGTACTATAATGCCATGAAGAAGCTAGGCTCCAAGAAACCCCAGAAGCCCATCCCACGGCCCCTGGTGAGCTTCAGAGTTTCCCTCTAGCACAGCTGGTGTGTAAATCCAACGTGGCAATCTATGTGATGGCTGTATTCGAGCCTGGCCAGGCTCTCAGTAGCACAGCAGGGACCTTGTAGAGGTTTGGCACTGGGGATGAGAAGGATGATTATTCCCAAGCCTGAGAAATAGGGTCAACTCTGGTCTTCTGGAGTGAATATGTCTCCTGCTAGTATTCCTTAGAAACCTGTTGAGTTTATACTGAGTTTCCTAGCACTTTAAGCAAGGAGAGGATTGTTGTTGTTGTTGTTAAGTGCTATCAAGTCATATGTGATTCATAGTGACCCTATGAACAAAAGACCTGGACACTTGCATTACTTTTGTCCTTTCTCCAGCAGGGTTTCCAGAGGTAAGGTATTTTGGAAGTGGACACCACTCCTGCTTTCAAGCTTATTCTAATTGGGGAGCTCTAATGGGGTCCTGCCCCGTTAGATTGAACAGTTCCACCGAGACAAGGGACGAGGATTAAATGAAGATGCAGAGAGGCTACCGCTGATGGCAAATAGCAAAACTTTATTCTTTAGACAAATATATAAGGGCTTTTAGTAGTACCTCTGCTATAACAATCGCATCATCTCAAGATGTCAATTATCTGGGCAATCATTTACATTTACAAACCTCAGCACAATACAAGGGTATTTTCCAGAATACCTTATTGTGTGCTTTAAGGGACAAATGGTTTTGGTTGATAAGGACACTATATTCTTTAAGGTTTAAGACATTTGGTCATTCTTATTTTTTAACTTCCTACTTCCTTGAGTTTTTTACTGCCAAGCAGATACTCCAGCCAAGATGCAGTTAGTTTTGCTGGTCTTATGGTACAGGGCTAATCTTGCTTTATAAGTTAGCCAGGCTCCAACAGAGCTCCACCAAACACTGTCCACCATGGGTAACCATTCTTGCATTTAACACATTAATGTCACAGTGTTCAGCTTCACAGCAAGATGCCAGCCATCTCACCAGTTAGCCAGCCGACTTCCAGAGTGGGGGGAGACTCCAGTCCCCAAGCCTTGTGAAGGATTTTAAGCAGAGTATTAGAAACATATAAAAGTAGATGGCAGTTAGGGTAGTTAGAGCCCTGAGATGAGACATTTGTGTGGTTTTGGACCACGAGCTATGTTGCAATGGGTCTTCAGTCTCAGCCTACAGGTAGACAGAAAGGAAACGGCCAAAAATCAACCCCACGTAACTCAGGGCATAAGTCATGGCCATGGCCAGGTGACCTAACTTTAAAGGAAACTTTCTATCCAATGTTCTTCTTGTTGTGTAAGTTCATAGCAACCCTGTGAACAGAATATATGAACCTTGTTTCATCGAGACTTATACATCTCTGAAGTTTCAAGATTGGCTATAAAGTAAGGTCAGACTGTAGTTGGATTCTTTTACTCAAATACTTCAGGATACAAGTCCTTTTTCTCCTCCATTAAATGCAGTACACAGACCACACAAGATAACATGCAAGTTCTTCTCCATTCTCTGCCGAAAGATGGAACATTAGAGTTCCGAGATGACACCGCAGTTAGAGATAGATAAACATATTTGGGAGTGGGAATGCAACTGGACCTCTCCAAGGAATTTTGAGCCATCTATGCCAGTGAATGGCCTTGGCACTTGTCCCATTATGTACTCCTTCTGTGTTTAGACGTAGTCTTGATGTACAAAACCATAGGCATCTCCTATTACCCCTTCCCCAAACACAGGCAAGGCCTAGGAACCTTCAAGAAAGAGACAGAGCTTTCCCTCAGTGAATCAGGAAGACATCCATGCCATCGACCAGGGCTTTGCTGTTGCTGCTGTTAGTTGTTGTGGAGTCAATGCTGACATGTGGAATTTCTAAAACAGGACAACAAATTTGTATACATAACTCCATTCTTAGCAAGCATAGAAGCCTGTAGGCCCTTGGCATACTTTACCTGGAAACAATGGTCTTAAATCTACTCATGTTCTCTACTCAGATGAGAAATTCTTCAATGGGGAGGAATAGAAGGTTGAGACCTCCAAGGCTGGGCCCAACCACTTATGCTCTGAGTCAAAGAGGAAGGATCCAAGAGACTTATCAAGAAGCCAAATGCTGAATCTCTGCTTAGCCTTTGCTGGTGGCTGGACATGTAGTGAGTGTACATTTAGACCAGACACTTAGGATTTGGGTTCAATCCTAAATTCTGCAGGCAGCCAGTAGCAAAATCACAAAGGTTCTGTCATCTCCCCACACACACTACTCCATCTCTCTGTATCATCCCAGCTTTTCTCTTCTCATCTACCAGTCTCTCAATGAGGCAGCCAAAATGCCCCCCTTTGAAGAAAAGCAATCTCTCTGCAACAAGGTGGGCTGTATTTCACAAAGGAAAGCTGTGAGGAAATTATCTTACTGTTAGATTTAGCCCTAACACTAGACTTTCCAGGCCTTGTGGCAAAAAATGGGGACAAAACTGGTGGGTAGTAAAAATGGCAACAAAACTCATCACCTCTTCTAATTAAACCACATTCAAAACCTTCAAGGTTGGCGCTGGAGCTGGCCCTCCACATGCAGGAGAGAAGCGCAGTCTCATTGCCCAACTCTGTTGCTAAGATTCGTCATTCCTCTGAAGGAGGCGATGTATTACTAATTACCCGTGAACACTTCCCTGGCTTTAGTGGAGAAGCATAGATTTTCTCTTAGTACTCTGGCCCAAGCACAGAAAATACTCTTCCCTTGGTTCCTCTTGATGTAGACCAGGATATTTACATAAGACTTTGAAACCTTAGGAATGCCAACAGGGAAACCAGCTGAGCGGGTCCCATGCAATTGCACAGGGCTGCTCTCCCAGGTCCTTAGATTTGGCTCGTCCTAGGCTCAATATGAAGAAAACAAAGATTCTCACCACTGGGCCGATTGGCAGCCTCATGATGGGTGATGAAGAGATTGAAATTGTTCACAGTTTTGGTTTGCTTGGCTCCACAGTCAACACTCTTGGCACCAGCAGCCAGGAAATTAAAAGACGTATTGTGATGGAAAAGTCTGAGGTTAGAGACCTCTCTAAAGTACTGAGGAGCAATGATGTCAGTCTGGAGAGTAAGATGTGTCTGATACAGGCCATAGTCTTTGCAGTCATTTGCTATGCATCAGAGAGCTGGACAATGACTAGGGATTATAGAAGGAGAATTGAAGCCTTTGAACTGTGGTGTTGGAGAAGAGTATTGAATGTATAAATCATGGACTGCTAAGAAAATGAACAGGTTTGTCCTGGAGAGGGTGAAGCAAGGATTCTGAAGCTTCATCTGACATACTTTGGGCATGTTGTAAGGAAAGACCAGTCCTTGGAGAGGGACATCATGCTTGGGAGGGTGGAGGGACAGCGCAGGAGGGGAAGATCCTTGATGAGATGGATTGAGCCTGTGACTGTGGTAATAGGGATAATATGTGTGTCAGAGACAGTGAAATTGACACAGTGGATAGGGCAGGTTTTAGGGCTGTTGTACATAGGGTCGCTATGAGTCACAGGTGACTCAACAGCACATAACAACAACAACAACACCTCTTAGTTGGCATCCATGTGGCAGGTGCCATCTCAGCTTCCATCATTCAGAGGCACAGGCCTCCTTTAAAGTCCAGAACCCAGAAGAAATTCAAGGGGGAAAAGAGACAGCATTTATACCTAAGTCTTACCTCCCCAGTCCCAGTGTCCTTTCACCAGATAAATGGCAGCAGAACACATGTCTCCTTCTGCTTAGGAACTGCCAACTTGGATGACATAGAGACTGAACAGTATGTGTGGAAAGAAAACTTTGTAATTTTGCTAAGAACTATTCCTAGAGGATGTAGATTTAAACCCAAATCCTCAGTGTCTGGTTTAAATGCACACTTGCTATGAGTGTAAGTGAGCAGAACATTAGCACAAGAGTCCTGCCCTGTGGGCACATGGCTTCTGTTTCACAGCAAGGCCAACCAGACCACATAAGGATCCAACACACACATGCACACACATACATACACCCTTCCCTGCCTTAGGCAACACCCAAATTCTAATCTTTCTTTTGATTAATCCATTTCAAAAACTAAGGGTTCCAGGAGACTGGGAAATTTTATTCTGTAATGTTACCTGGTATACTTAAAAAGACCCTTACTACCATTGGGTCAAAACTGACTCATACTGGACGTAAATCGCATACAAGGAGGTATCCCATCTTTCTACCTCAGAGCTGCTGGGAGATTCCAGCCACCTGCCTTTGGGCTGGCAGTTCAATTTCTTACTCCCTAGGCCACCAGAAGTCTCTTTTCCTAGTGTAACAAAAGCAGACTTTACACTCTCTTTTATAAGAAAATAATGGGCTCTTGGAAACACGTAGAGCCGCATGGCTTAAGGCTGAGGTACCTGTGTGCACATTTCGGGAGCTGACTTGATTGTATTCTGTTATTAAACCAAATTATAACCTTTTTACTTTCAAAAAAAAAAGAGAAAATAATGGGCTCTAGATTATCACATTGTCAGTCACCCACTTCATCATGAGCTCGAGCACCAAGGGATTCAAAGGTGGGGTCCCTGCCCATGGGCTAAGCCAAGAGTAAGCATCAAGTCGCTCCATTCTCCAGGGTCTGATGATCGATCCAGGACAAATCCTATGCCCAGACATTCAGCAATACCACTCCCTGCTCTGTTCAATTACATGTCATGTGGCTGTGAATGAGCTTCTGTTTTTTCACCCTTTTCAGTGATGACATAGAAGAGATTTTTGGCTCAGGTATCCCCTCTCACCCCAGGAAAGTCATGAACCAATAGTTACTCACAGAGCCTGGCCTACTTGGGTCTGATTCTTTGCTCTAACCCAGCAGGGTAGCTTCCCATTCCCTGCAGGCAAAATACAGGGAACAGCCTCTGTCCTAGTGTCCATTCCCTCTGCCGTCTTTACAGCTCCTGGGAGCTCCCTGGTAGCATTCTGTAAAGGGTCTCCCGCTCAACCCTCAGAGTCACTCAGAGACTTGAACACAGTGCATATTCACTGAGGGTCTCCTCGGACAGAGATAAATGTGGTCAAACCTAGTTGTTTACATGTGATAAAATAGATGCTGGCTCATAGTGGCCCCATGTGACAGGATAGAGCTGACACATCAGGTTTTCCTGCTATAAGCTTTGGGTAACTTTATTGGTTCATTTGAAGGGTAGTTAATTCAGGGATTTCCATTGTGGTATCCATTATTTGGGATATTTCTTGGACATCTATGGTGAGCCAGACACTATTGCAAACACAGGAACAGAGCAGTAAAAATGAATAAAATCTCCTGTCCTCACAGAGATTACAAACCAGTGAGGGAGAAAAATTAACACAAATTATATATACACTCATTCACAGAGAAATAGAACAATATGTATCGGGATCATGCAGGAATATCTGAACTAATCCTGGTGTTTCAAAGGAGGCAAGTCAGGACTGAGATCTGAAGACTAGAAGTTTGTTTAAATGATAGGGAACCTCATTCCAGGCAGAGAATGTTTAAATCCTATGCAAAGGTGCTTAGTGTCTGAAGTTAAAAAATGGGTAAAATTAGCCTGTGGCAGGGTTGTTGACATTTCAGACTACATAATTAATCGTCCTGTGCATTAAGCATCAACCCATTACTGGTCAGTAACATCCCCCCAGTATTGTGGCAACAATGTCTTGAAACATGTTCAAACTTTTTTACCGTATTTGCAGACATTTGGCAACCTTTGTAGATAAGAATCATTGAGATATGGTATCAGAAGTTAAGATCATGTTTTCTGTTAATAGAAAGATGATGAGTTGCGGAAAGACATAAAATACCATCTAGTGGTTTGATAATGATCCGTTTCTTGATCTATGTTATGTTATATGAATGTGTTCATTTACGAAATTTATAAAGTTGTACCTTTATCGATTTGTGTACCTTTCTATTTGAATGTTTTGCTCTAATAAAACATGGATTTTTAAAAGTTCTTGATAGACAGATGATAGATAGATAGATAGATAGATAGATAGATAGATAGATAGATAATAGATAAATAGATGATAGATAGATA